AAAGTAAAGATTTTTCTATCTTCATTTATGAAAAATAAGGAATTATTTTCCTTTTTTCTTAAATCTACTTTTGTCTGTATCTGTGGTGGTATGGCAAGAATTTCATTTGAAGCTCTAAACAGGCACAAATCGGAACTACAGAAATTACAAATATAATATATATACACACACATAGGGGGATGGACAAAATAATTGAAACACTTCTATACTAATAAATTTTTTCATATTTTTCCAGAAATATTAAGAGAATCATTTTATAACTTCAGAAGTGAAAAATTAAAAAAAAAATTTTCTTAATTTTGTAGTGAATCATCTTCGACAATTAATGAAAAAAGTCCGATTTGAATATCCTAAAAATTTAAAAAGTTTCAAGCAATTTTCTAAGTAGTTTTTCTACTTTTTGAAAGAAAGCGCTCTAATTGATATGGAGTTTTCCGCAAGTTAAATTTTCTATCATAAGAAAAAATTTTATAACAAATAATGATTTACATAAACTGTCCGTACACGCAAATATGTGGTATAAGGAAAGAAAACATATGAAAGAAAAAATATTTTCATGGTTGAAGGATCCCCCCACAATGCTAGTAGCATTTTTAATCAATCTTGTTTCGTGGTACAAAATATAATTTGTGAAAAACCCATTATCGTTTTCAGCTTTCCTTTGAAAAGTACAAAAACTACTTAGAGAATTGCTTGAAACTTTTTAAATTTGTAAAATATTCATATGATGCTTTTTTCATTAGTTGCTAAATATGATTCACTACAAAAAATCTTTTTTCGCGCATGCGCAGTATAAAAGAGCTATTTTAAATACTTATATCTTGTGCAGTTTTTAATAACTTTTTTCCAAAGTTTAAAACAATAATTTTGTAAACAACTTGAAATTGCGCCCAAAATATTTTTAAATTCTATTGCATATCTTTAATGTTTCAGCAAAAAAAAAAAAAAAGGTATGACAAAAAATATAATGCAATAATAACCAAAGTAATCAATATTAGTGACAAGTTTATTGATTGATTTTTCAGCAAGGGTGTTTAAAAATACTTATTTTCCTTCGTAATTTACAGTTAGTCCCTCTAACCTCTGAAAGCTCTAAACCTTATTGCTAGGTATGAAAAAACGCATGAACTACACAATTCTAAAATTACAAAATAGTCCTCTAAGTATTACTTGAAAAACAAAAAAAAACAAAAATGTCAAAAACTAAAAGTGTCTCTTCCATTACTGTAGGGTAGTGTACACATGTGTATATATTACACAGGGCCCGCGCTAAGGATTTCAAACTATTAGCCAGTAAATTAGACAAATATCAAAAGTATTCGCCAATTTTCGAAAGTCTTTACCAAATGCAAATCTTAACAATTTTACGGTAGTTTGTTTCAGGCTTACATTATTTAGACCCAATTCTAATTAGTTATGCAGTGCATCTACCGAAAATTACTGTAATTGAATAAAAAATACTGATTTTCTAAATTTTGAGGATCGAGTTAAATATATATTTTTTTTCCAGTAGAGAAAATTATTCGCCAAAATTACAATTTATCACCTTTGGAGAAGTGACGAATTCTTAGTGTGGGTGTGTGTATATACATATATATAGTTAGATAGATATAATAAGTGTCTATCTGAGATTATAATTTTTACTTTTATACTTAGAATGGTTTCATGATTTTGAGTGGTACGGCACTGTAGTAAAGTGATTAAAAAACTGAAAACTTGTAACAGCATAGTTTCTATAAGCACCATTGATTTTTGCTTATCTTTTTACCAATTTACCTCTCAAACTTTTATTTGCATCAATTTCTAAATTAGTTCAATTTGCCTCTGCACAAATTGAATTTTGTATTGATAAATTTCTAACGCTTTTAAATTTCTGTCTTTACAACAATTACATTAAAAAATGACTGTTTTTTACTCGTGCAAATTAACAGTATTTCCATGGGAGCTAATTTTAGTTCAACCTATTTATGGTCAATCTATTTTTAATTTACTATTAAAAACAACTATAAAATGAGATAAATCACAACTTTTTATGTTGCAGATATATTGATATATTCTGGATTAGCTTTTATGAATTTTAAAATTTACATCGCTCTCTTTATCTTAATTGTTTAAATTTTGTTTGTATATGATAAACACCAAGACTTTAAATTCAAAGTACTCAGTCTACAAAACTATTTTAGTTGTGTCAGGGTGCTTAGAGGAATTATTATTTCTCAAATTATCAGATTTAAAAGAATTTGTAACTATAATATCAACTTCATGCTAGAAATGGATAATTTCAAAGCCAAAATTTTTCACAATAACTTTCCAACTAATTTTATTTATCATCTTGTGGCCCAATTAAAAATTTAGTTTAAAATCAACTTTTGGGATTTAAACTGTCCACAAATGCCTAAACTGTAACCGTCACTTATAATCATTTATAACACACCATCTTCAATCCATTAGTTTGGAGGGATGGCTGTTGATGTGGCGATATATTGAATATGGACTTAGTTTGGTTAAGCACTGATTACGAATTAAATAATTTTTCCGATTTTCTTTTTTCATTATCTTTCAGTTCTCATGTTTTCAATGCTTGTGTAGGGTCCAGCCAATAGCAACATGGCTTACAGCTTTTGCTGTTTGCCACATTGCTATAATGAAACCCTACACTTTTTTCGTTCAGAGGTATGTATTTTTGTTGTTGGCTACTGCTTAGGAGTTAAAATTTATTATATTTTTTTTTCTCTCTCTATATATATAAGTAAATAACACATTATTTAATCTAATGAATTTAAATACATTTATTTTAACCTAATGATTCATGTCACTACTCCGTTCCCTTTGTCACAGTATCAGAAACCTCTTCGCTCCCCTCTAAGCCTTATATCCCTTTTAACTGCTTTAAAAGAAGTAATAATCTGAAAAATGTAAGTAGCATTGTTAAGAGATAGATGGAGCAAAGTCTATTAAAGTGTGGTTAAAATGAATTCATTAACAACATTTGTTCATGAATTCAAAAATAGTCTAAGATAATTATTTTATAAATGTTGCTTTTATAATCTCAGTTAAAATGCTATTGAAAAGGCCAGTAATTAGAAAAAAGCAAAAGAAACATTGGAAAGTAAAAAAAAAAAAAAACCTTAGGGATTTATTTAACATGTAGATACCAAAAAAGATGTTTTGATGTTTTGTGTCGTTTTGCTGATTAGCATTGAAAATGCTGTTTAAAAATGGACAAAATCTAACAGTTATGAGTAACCAATAAAGAATTAGCCTTAGACTGCCTGTCAGCAGTGCATTTTTCAAACATTGATATTCAGCTTAATTTCTATTAAAAATAAAGCTTTAAAATAAACTGTTTTATTATTATTAAGATGATATGCTTAATAAAATTGTGCATTGACTAAGCGTTTTAAAAATTATACAAAATTTTAACAGCATGTTATATTTGTGTGTTTGCTACTTTTTGAATTTTTTTCTTTGATTTTACTCATGACTAACCATTAAAAAATATTCCAACTGGTAAATAAACAAATAAATATGCAGCTTTATACAAGTACATCTATTCATTTATGTAATTTTATGAAAAAAATATTTTTGAAAAAACTGGAAAAAGTTTCATGTACTTACTGACTTTTGAATCAACATTTTGTCAACAAAAGTTACTGGGGGTCCCCCCCAGTAACTTTTTAATAATCAAAAGAAATTAAGAAATAAGTTTTTCTTTTGGCAACAAACAAAAAATAATTTTATTTATTTATCCCTATCAATCTTATCTGATAAATATTCCTTAATCAAAGAAATATAATTCAAACCATATTATAATAAACAATTATTGTATTTAATTAGTGTATAATGAATGTGTTACTTTCTGTTTACTTTGTTTGACCTAGAAAAATCATGTACAAGATACAGGACTTTCCATAGTATTTGCATATTTTGTTTTTATAGTATATTTTGTTTTTAATACTTGTTATGTCTTAAATATATAAACTTTTGAAAAAATTTAGATTAATTTTAATTAATATAACTTAAGTCATATAACAGATACAACATTTACACACAAATAATGGTGTTTTACATGTGTCTTAATAATAAAGTGTCTTAATCATAAAAATTTTCATTAATAACAATTATATAATTAAGAAAACATAATAGTATATTTAGAAAACAATAAATTTATTTGATAATTTAATTTGCATATTTAAATACATCTTAAAATAAATAATACTAATGGTATATAAAAATTTTTAATGAATTTTAAAGACATTAAAATTACTTAATATTAAAAAGTGTTACTTCTTACCATCAGTAATTAAACTGAGCTAAGTGAAGGGTTTGCATAAAATTATTTTGATATTTATAGTTATATTGCAACATTACAGAAAAAAAAAGTTGCTCATTAAAATATTTACAAGCTGAAGAAATGAATACAAAAAATAAGTACTATGTAATGATTTGTGCAAATTTTTGGAATATATGATATCAGAGAAAATTTTCACAAACATAATTTAAAAAGTTTAAATATTTAACAATCACTCTCTTAATATGATACATATGTATATATATATATATAAAACAGCACTTGCAAGGATATAAAATTTGTTTTAAAATAAAACAACTACAGTAAAAAAAAAAAAAAAAAACGAATTCAGAAGTCACAAAATAAAATAATTTGTAACTTTTAGATTTGCAAAATTAGGAGACAATTTTGTCACATTGGCTTCAATTCTGAGCCTTCAGAATTTGTCAAAATACATGCCACTAATACTCTAAATAATCAATCAAACATGCAATGCAGAAAAATTAAACAAGTTTAAACTGTTAATATACATTATTATCTAGTAAATATTAAATCAAAGCTTTAAGTCATGCAAAACTGGCCAAAACTTCATGACAGAAAAATGACAGAAAAATTGGAAAAAGAATTGTAAATAAAAAGCCATGCAATTCAATACATGACATACAAATCCTAAAAACAAAGAACCAGAGTTACATATTTCCAAGCCCACCTATTTTTATGGCCACCTTGAGATGCTAACAAAGATTGTTGATAGCTTGGAGGTTCAATTTTAAGATTCAAGTCGACATCCGACTTTGTCATCCAGCCTGAACAGTCTGTAGTAGAAGACATTCTACTATCAACACAAGATGCATGTTCATATGATGAAAAAGATTCTTGTTTTTCAAGTGAAAGATGTCTAGTTTGAAGTTTGGAATTATCTTGCAAATGTGACAATGAATATTCACTTTTACTAGGCAAAGAATCAGAAACAGTGGCCCACTTGTGATGCAGAGGATGATGCCTGAAGTTACTGCTTGCATAACTATGTCTGATATTTTTCTGCATATATGGTGGAGGATATCTCAAAACCAATTTTTTTGGTAACTCCATAGAATGAACAGTTTTTTTCTGCACTGCTTGAGATACAAGAGTAAAACCATGCCTTGGGTAGTAAACTTCTGTAATGGGCAGATTTGCAGGGCTTTTTGAACGGGGCGGTTCTTCAGATATAGATAAATCAGTTTGTGTTTTTACATCACAAGAGTGAGGCATTTTTCTCCTTTTATTCAAATATGGCTGAGAACTGCAGACTGAAAAATATGAGTAGTTTCTAGGAGAATCTTCAAAATCCTCTTCTAAGAGTACAGACAATTTTCGGGGAAAGGTGCATTCTCTGTACCGAATGAAATTCAAAAGTAAATTTTAAAGTATAAATGAATGTATAGCTAATGCATATAATTGAGGAGATTACTGCAAATAGTGGTTGTAAATTTTAAGGAAAATGTAATGAATAATATTTCAATTCAAAAGTTACATTAAAAAACTTTACAGTTAAAGCACACTGAATTAAATACATTTTTATTTCTATTGTATTAAGCACATATCATTATGATAGCAAACAATGAGTATTGAGATGGTATGATAAAGAATCAGCTTACTTCAATTTATTTTAAGCCTTTTAAATGGTCAATATGAAAGGAATATATAATTTATGATTTTTATACTTCATTTTGTTTAACTCATTTAGTATTACCATTAGGTAAAAATAACTGGTATCACTCAGTTTTAAACTAAAATAGACATCAATAAACAGATAATCATGTAATAAAAGGTAACTGAATATTGTGTAAAAAAGTTATTTATAATATTCCTTAAGCCTTCTGTTAGAACCTGCTTTTTTTAAAAACTTTAGGCTTTCCTGCACTAAAAATCATTCCCCCCTCCATGTTATTCAATGGGAAAAAAATATAACAGGGAAATTTCAGTAAAATTTTGCCAAGGGTTTTAATGCTTGGAGGGTAAATTTTATAAATCATTATAAAAATATATAAACTTTAGGCCAGTCAGTTGATTAGCTGCTTTCTTAAACAGATTCTGTTTTCACTTCCTGAGTATTAAGCTATTTATGAAATTTTTCTCTTAGTAACATTCCCTTAGGTAATGGGAAAGAAAATGTAAGCTATGCAAGAAAGGGACAACGTAAAAAGCTGCTGCATTTGCAGGCTATATACTTCTTCAAGATGGCTTATTTCTTGGTCGAAAAATTTCATCAGAAACAAAAGCAGATTTAGGAAACTAAAAATTTTCGAACGAAAAGCATTTTATTTGCCAATAGTTTAACTAAAGTGTTTAAATAACATTTTCAAAACAAGTGCAAAAATAAATTTATTCTTTGGGAAAATACTTTTTACAGTTGGTTAGTTTGTTGTTTCAAAAATTTCATCAGAAATATATAGTGAGGGATTTCATATTCAGAATCCCAAAATGAAACCATTAACTTAAGTAAAACATAAACATTTTAAACTAATAACTAAATAATATGCTTAAAAAATAATTCTGTTATTAAGAAACAATAGTAATGTAATGATGAATTTCATATTTACACTTCTTTCATGGCATTTTATGATATGGTGTTAGTAGTCGGAAGTAGTAACAAAGAATATACATGGAGAAAAAAAGCTAGCTACTAACGACATAATGTGAAAGTCTCCCAAGATTTGTACAGTCCCTGTGTAAGTAATATTTAGTGAAAAGTAATATTTAGCAGCACAGCATATTCTTGGACTGGGTTTTCACCCACCTTTCCATCCCTCTCCCCAACTACTATTCGAGTTGCGGAGAAAATGGAATGTTTTCGTCTTTTAATTTATGTTTTGTTGCTGCATTTTTGCACTCCTTATAAACAGTAATGTGCTATTTACTAACGTATTTCCATGAGATTTCATTTATATAATTCCTGTTGATTATATCTGGTAGCACATTTTGAGATGGTATGAAAAGTCGTTAATGGTGAGATGCAGCATATTCAACCAACCGGTTCAGGTGACAAAGCTCCTGACTGTCATTTTGCTTCTTATGCACTTGCACTAAATCTTGGTACATATGATGTTCTGTTGCATCTGAGTGTTGCTCTTGCTGTAAGTTGATTTTCCAGTATGCATCCCATACTGAGTTTGGAGAACTGGACTTCTTCCTATATTCTTTAGTAGTAACCTGGAAGTTTTACAATGAATTTTAAACTCTTGTGCCATCTATGCTCAGCTTTATACTCTTTATAACTCAATCCATAAGCATTCCAAAGAGTTTAAGCTCCCCTACTGTAAAAGCTGGCTCTGTTAACAAGCTGATTGGAGTGTTTTGCAAAGCATTGAGGCTGGTGGCAAATAGAGTTAAACCAAATAATTTATTTTCATCTGTCGATTGTCTGTTTAAATAATTTCTAAAGAAATGAAAGACAACTGGGTTGTTTTTCTTAATCTTTCAAGGTTCCATTGATCAATCAATTCAAGAAATTTAATATTATGCCATAAATAAAGTGCAAAATATTGCCATATGCTATTATTATTATTATTATTTTGGTAGTATCATAGCATGCTAGTGAAATTGTCCAAATTCATTTTCAACTAAAATGAAAAAGATTAAGCTAAAATTGAATCGAAATAACGTGTTGTAAACTCTACAAGTAAAATAATATTGAAGGGTGCACATTTTCAAACTATAAGTCGGAAGTAGTAACAAAGAATATACATGGGGAAAAAAAGCTAGTTACTAACGACATAATGTGAAAGTCTCCCAAGATTTGTACAGTCCCTGTGTAAGTAATATTTAGTGAAAAGTAATATTTAGCAGCACAGCATATTCTTGGACTGGGTTTTCACCCACCTTTCTATCCCTCTCCCCAACTACTATTCGAGTTGCAGAGAAAATGGAATGCTTTCGTCTTTTTATTTATGTTTTGTTGCTGTGAAATGAAAAATAATGAAAATGAAAGACAACTGGGTTGTTTTTCTTCATCTTTCGGGGTTCCATTGACTATAATCAAATAACCATGAAAGAATATATCAAGAAAAGTGAAAGAAATCTCACAGATTTGATAAAAAACGTGTTTCTTTTCTACACTAAAAATTTTCAGCACAATAGAAACAAAAGTAATAAAAGTATAAAAAACTAGTTCTTGGATGAATAAAGGGAAATGTGAGCATGAAGAATAAGTGACTGATATTTGGCAGATTTATCTAATGATTTTTTTTAAAAGTTGCTTCTTTTTTGCTTTATTAGACAGGATTTAATTCGTGATTGATTTAATTGTTATTGATTAATTGGTCGATAACACTAAAATGATGAAGCGACAAGAACATATTTTGGAACAAAATATCACTTTCCAGAAACTCTTCAGACATGCTAGTCAACAGCATCCTCTGCTTGTAAGCAGGGTGATTACCAGCTAGTTGTATTATATTTCTGCGAGATGTAACATCCAACAGTGCAAGTCAAAAATTTTCATAAGCCTTCTTTCTTCTACCTCTATATTTTTTGCTTCTACTACTCCTAAAAACTTATTAAACATGAGGAAATTTTGCCACCACATTTTTTCCTTCTGAAAATAAATGATTAAAGCATTGTGGCCTGACATTGGTTCCCAATAAATGTTTCAATTAATATGGAAAAATTTTAAATTCAAATTTTGAAACTATTTCCATAATTAAAAAAATATTTATAGAAATAGATGCTAATAAAATTCAATTGAGCAAAAAGAAATAACTGATAGGCTAATAAATTTTGAAAAGGTAGAGTAAAACAACGATCTGTTTAAGATAAACATGTTAAAATTTAGATTCAATAAAATCACCTTTTCTTTCATGAGGTGAGCTAACTTAAAAAAATTAACCACTAATAAATTCTCAGAAAATAGTTATCTAATAATTATAAAATCATTATTTTAATGATCAAGTATGGATTTTATTTCATAAAAAGCAAAAAATGACATAACAATTGCACCATAATGACAGTCACATAAAAGAATTGTCACCAAATTCAATGTAACAGAATACATGGTTTGAAACTTAACATTATAGATGAGAGGATACTAGCTATATATCATATTCAAAGGGAAAAAAACATAAAATTCATCCCACAAATTTATTTAGACTGCTTTGATGATGCTTGACACAAAATAAAATTTAAGTAAATGAATTTAAATAAAACTTATTGTGTAATTTGAAAGAATTACACTTATCACTCAAACAAAAATACTCCTGATAAGAATTAATACTTCCTAATATTATTATTTTTTTCCAATGTTCCCTTTTATTTGGGTGCATTTATTTTCAGTTGCCTAAAATATATAAATCAAATTTTGCTTAATACATATAAGAAAAAAAGCACAAAAGTAGTCCTACAAAAATACCAGTTTTATAAATAATCCCAAATTTAATCTACATTAGCCTATTAACTGTTGTACATAGGTAATTAAAAATACAATGCTCAGTTAATTAAAATAGTTTTTTTTAGAAAAGCTTCAATTTTTCTGTCTAATTTTGAAACATAGATTTAGTAGTTTGGCAATGATATTTTTGTTTTATTTTTATGCATCCAATTTTTTTAGATTTTAACTGTTCTTCTAAAGCTTTCTTTTTATCATTTTCCGAGCTGCACATTTTTCTCAACTTTTTCTATATTTTATCTCTTACTAATAGGAAATTGCTCAACAATTCATCATAAATCCACATTTGTTAATATCAACAATTTTTATATCATATGATACGTCCATTTATAGCCACTCTTTGTATTAGATTGCCATAGAGAAACTTGAAAAATTTCTATTTAATATTACTAAAATATAACTGATAAACAAGGTATTTATAATAACAAGAATAAAAATCACTTACTTTGTTTCATCTGTCATACTTTTCCCTTCTAAATCATATATCTTAGAGGAGGATGGTATATTATTAGATGAACTTTGATTAAAAAGAAGGAAATGTGAAACCTCATTTCGCTTTTGAACGCAGTCATTTGTTTCACTGGGAATTTGTTTCATGTCTGAGTGAAAATTAAATTCAGCATTCACTAGTTTAGGGTTGCCATCTTTAACAGCAGCGAGGAAACTATTTGTTCGATGACGAGGGAATGAGTGATCTTCAGGCTCTTTATGGATTTCACAAATATCTGAAAGCAAAAATGTCTCAGAAACTGTCCCGCATGGAGTGGATGGTGGTGAAGAAGTTCTTTTAGTAATAGAGTTAATTAAAATGTTCTGTTCAGATTGAGCCTGATCAATAAAGACACCAGAGACAGGTTCAGTTTGTGTTGATTTTGTAACAACAGGAGAGTCAATAGGCAAAGTCGGACAAGAAATAGATGTGTAACCACAATGCATAGGTGTTGACCTATGGCTAGTGTAAGAGCTGCTACTCCTACAAAAGATCAAAAAATTGTTAAACAATAATGAAACAAATTACAATTGAAAAAAACAATTCAATCCATTTTTACTCAAGTATTTAAGTTGAAGAAAAGAATTCTTTGCGTTAAGGTATTTTTCATATTAAAAAGACTTACGCATTTAATACCAGATGTTTCTCATTAAATTTAGAGGAAAAAATGGTTTAAATGGTTTCCTGCGAAAATATTTCTTTTTTTTCCTCCATGATCTAATTTTTACATACAAAACTGCAACCTCACGAGCTCAAGTGCATGAGGAAAAGCAAATAATTTGCCATGCAAGAGGAAAATAAGAAAACGTTACTTTAACGATATTCTCCATAAAGAATGAAGTGACAAAAAATTTTCTTACTTAATAACTTTTCTACGTAAGTTTTTTTCTCTAGAGTATGATAGATTTTTACTAATTAACTACACTACCTAATACCAATCACACCGTTTTTTCCAGGTTTTTGCTGGCCTAAATTTTCTTTATCAAATGGGGCACCTATTTTTTAGTTTTCTAACAAAGTTTTTAATTTTTACACCAGATGGAGACACTTTTATGTTATATTTATTTTTTCTTCTTCTTTTATTTATGTTTTTTCCTTCGATTTTATAAGTTTCTTATGTCAATAGAGTGAGAGTATAACCCATGCAATTTATTTTCTTTTCTACAATTTTTCTTATTTACTTTTTCTTTTTACCAATTGTTGTAATGTTCTTTCTCTATTTTCTGTAGATGCAATTAAGATACTACAGTAGGGAACCGATTATCCGGAACGATCGGGACCATCGCTATTCCGGATAACTGATTTTTCCGGTTTTCTGAATTGCTACAAAAAGCAGTTTTTTTATTGTTAAACCTAACTAAAAAAAAATATTTGGAAATAATCTTAAAAAGAAGAAAAAACGATGAAGTAATACACTAATGACTATTTCCAAAATGATGGTAAGGTAAACATCTTTAAAAAAAGAAAGAAAAATCCTAAAATCTTATGAGGAAAAAAAAATTTTTTTTTTTTAAATGGTGGGAAAATTCATCGAATTTCGTTCCGGTTTTTTGGTTTTCCGCTTTTCTGATTTCTGGATAACTGGTTCTGTACAGTACTATATTAAAACGTATTTGCAATTTTAAATATATTTGAGATTTTATGTCGGTTTCTGTCTCTATTCATCACCATCACATAGTTTAATTCTCTTTTATAAAAATAAGATTGCATTTAAGAACAGGAAAATCTGATCATTAGATCAAGATTTTTATAGGGTATTAAAAATGCTATTTTGTGCACCGTACAGTATGCAAAACAAAATATTAAGCACCTTAATATCCTCTGATCTAACCATCTAATTATTGTGTACTAAGATGCATTTATATACCATTTGAGTAGATTACTTTAAATATGATAACTAATTTGTGTGGATAATATTTTAACTTTCAAAACTAGACAAAAACATGCACCTTCTGAATAAACATACCTTTTTTATGAGAGAATTAAATTCTTGACCACTAACATATAGGAAGTGGTCACATTCTGGAAAAAAGGATCTCTATGTCTCAATCAGGCGAGCAGCTGAATGTTTGAAACCCCTTAACATTAATTTCACCTTTTGTGTATTTTACTACATTTCTGGTATTCTTTATGTGAATTTTAAAAAAAAAATTATACACAATAAAAAAGGTGCTTACACAAGGATAATTCTAGATCAAATATAATTTCTCAGGATTATTAATTATTTTTATTATATAATTCAATGAAAGTTGAAAAAAATTTAAGCTGTAAAGTATAAAATATTTTACATAAATTTAAATTATATAATATTAAATAATAAAATACTAAATTTTAATAGTAAAATCTAAGGTTTAAACAAATTCTGCTAAATAGTATTAAGAGTAATTTAATTTCAAATGTATGACATTTTAAAATTTTCATTTCTCAGGAAGAATTTTAATTTTACTGATGCCATTCAAATTTTGGATTAATGGTGAAAAATTTTGGGCCCCTTACATTTAAAAAAATTTTAGATTAACGAGTTTTACAATTATGTACAAATATTTTACTAGCTCAGAAGATATAGCAATGTACGGGAAAAGTGAAATCAATAATAAGGAATTCAAATATTCAACAACTCTCCAGAGTTGTGAATACAAATCCATTAAAAAAAGTACAATATTATGTCTGATTTGATAACTATAAATGTCGTCTGCACAAATTAATTAACATACTAAGATTGTATCTTAGTAGGTAAAAATCCAATAACTAGATCAAAATTTATTTTAAAGCAGTTCTTCACTCTAGAAAATCAATCATCCAAAATAAAATTTCAATAATAAGTGAAATATTCAATAACACATTTTTTGCATATTCTGTTAGTTATGAAAGAATAGGTGCAGCTTACCTATTTGATCTATTATAAAAGCGAGCTAGCACTTGACCATCAAAACTCTTACAATGAAATATTTCAGATAGATTTCCTCCTACGAAATAATGAAAAATTTATGTTTTCTTAATGTTACTTTATTAGAAAAATAACTCAAGCATGAGATTATAGAACGAAATAAAACAGTAAATTAGCAAAGAATGAAGATGATACAGACATTAACAATTCAAAGCACCATTTTGATAATATATCCAATCAAATGATCAATTTACAATGTTTTAATTCAAGTGCCGTTTAATAATCTCTAATAAATTTTTAAGTTTGATGTTGTTGAGATTTCATTTTTACAACAGTTGAAATACGATAAAAGAAAAAATATTTTAATCATACTACCAAAATCAAGTTTTTTTTAATTTCAGAAAAAAAATACGTTTTGTTTCATTTTGTTAAAAAGAAACCTGAGAATAAATCCAAAAAAAAAAAAAAAAAANAAAAAAAAAAAAAAAAAAAAAAAAGCTTGCGTAGAATATAAAAAAATTTCATAAAAAGTATATAAAAAATACAAAATGGAATTAAGATGTTTATTTGCAAATCACTTTTCTATCACTAAGTAATAAAATTAGTAAAAAAATAAGTAAAATTACTTTAGATGAAAAAAAAACAAGATCTATTCTCACAACTATTTTTCCCTTTAATTAAATGGAAAAAACTATGTTTCACTTAAAAGTAAATGTTTAACTATACTTTACTACTTATACTAAATAAAGTTTATGTCTTAATTAAAGTTTAATATTACAACTACCATAACTCTAATAATTTTTAAGTTCCTTAAAATTGAATGTTTAGCTATGTTTTCTAATTTAAAATAGAAGTTTATGTTTTAATTATTAATGCAGAATTTTACAACCACTATATCGCTACTACTAAAGTCACTTAAAATTTAATGTTCAGTATTATGTTATATTTTTAAATTAATAGTTTAGATTCTTATTATTAATGCTAAAGAACACATCTTTATGGTTGATAGTTATAAAAAAAAACTTTAAATTATTAGCTTGTACAGAAATCTAAATTTTAAAATAATAAATTTAAATTATATTAATGAAACACATGAGATATAAAATAAAACATTATGATTTTGAATAAAATTTTACTGTCTACAAACATAATAATGTATACTTAATAGGATGCACATGAATACAATTTGTCAATGAGATCTTACAAATTAAGAAAAAGGATAATGCATAGTATGTTTTCAATTATTTATCTAGAAATATTTGATAAACAATAAACAAAAACAAATTAATATCATTATCTTAACTATAATATCATTATCTTAACTATTACGATATTTTCAGCTACTTTCACTGTCGAGGTAGAGAAAAGTTTCTTCCAGAAGGAAAATAATCCTGTCAATATTAAAATAGAAATTCCAATATACTTATAAATATAGAATTGTACACTATTTCATTGATTCATTTTTCTTTTTTAAAAGAGTTTATTTAAGGCATCCAGTTTAGTACAACTTTTGGGTATTTTTTTTATTGAAAAATGCATGGATGTTTTCTCAATTTTTTAAGATCTTATTGAACTTTATTTGATAAACTATCAGTACATTGTTCAATACATGTCATAACAAAAACATAAAGCAAAATATGAATAAAAAATACAATTTTAAAATGAAGTGGCGTATTCTACAAACAAAATTGTGTAGCATATTAAACATGACAACATTATAGTAATGAATATTTTTAAACCTAGATATTTTCTCATTTGAAAAAAAAAACAATTATGTAATAGAAGTAAATGTAACTCCCAATTCTGACAGTGAAGTTAATAAAATGAAAGAATATTTCAATATGTTATTAACAGTCAGAGTCTTCTTCACGATGTCAGAAATAAAAATAGATTTGTTATAAAATTTTCATCAAAAAGGAGATGTAAATAATTGCTACAACTTTAAAAATTTAATAATTAAAAAGTTTTAAAGCTAATCGAATTACAATATATTTTCATCTGTAATAGCAAATTTTTGATGCAAGGGATTTTAAAAATCTTTTGCAGATGATGCAAGTGCATTGTTTTGGTAATGGCACATGTTTTACTTTAGGAAAAATAATATATTTGATTGGCATTTTTGAACATTTCATTTTTACTTTGGATTTACACACTCTCTATTTCAAAAGTACTTCGCTTTTCCATATTCTTAATTCTTTTCTGATTTTAACACAATCTGATATTTTTTTGGTGTGTGTGTTTCAAACATTTTAATAATTTCTGTTTCCATTTACAGACTGTCATTATAATTTTAAAATAATCACCATAAGTTCAAAAGTTTAGTTTAAGATATTATTAAATCTCTATAAATAATTAACCCACTGAATTTTTAGGTAAAATCAATTGCTGTAGAAAAATACATAGACGAATTAAAAAGTAAAACTAATTAAAAAAATTAGTTTAAACTTAAACATTTTGGTAATTTCCAAAATGGGCAACTTGGGGATTCCTTAATTAATATATGTTATGTAAAAAGGAATGCACACTAAAATGTGTCTTTAGATAGTCAAAGAGATAAAACTATGGTTGAAATCTATTAGACATTGAGTTATGACAATTAAGCTTTGAAACATCAAACAAAACACTTTTAAAAAGGAAAAAGCAACAAAATAAAGGAAAATAATATTTTACCTTACATTAAAAATTTAGTTCCTTAACACACAAATTCATATGCACAATTTCAAGTTTCTTACCATCAAGAAGACTTCGAATTTCATTTTTCCCATCACAACTTTTTGATCGGTTTTCTTCATTTTTCAACTAGTATAAAAATAAATCACATTTACATTAATAAGAAAAAGAGTCTTATTTATTCAAATTAGTATACAGGCATTGTAGTAGGGCAAAGAAAATATCATAACATTTTTCAAAACAATCAGGACAAAATAAGGACATTTAGAAAGGGAATTAATAATTGATCATAGATTTATATTCAATAAACAAATTTTTATTAATAATTTTTTTCTTAGTCTTTTATGGTTTCAGTTGAATATAATCTCTTTATTACAAACACAACTATGATTTAATAGTTTCTCAATAATCAAAGAAAATACTAGAAATGAATATAATGCTTTGAAAAATACAATTAGGAACTTCATTTCATTTATTACATTTCACAATTTGAATATGTTTAACCCTCTTGGTGGTGTTTGCTTGAAATAGTTTTACTCTTAAAACAGCAAGCATATTTACCAGAGATATACCTTAAAAGGGCGAGGGTCAGACAAAGGGAATGCCTACCCCCTTTTTTCTGTTTGCTGTTAAGAGAATTTTTCACACTCTATGTGGTCAGTCAGGGTATTGACAGTTTGATTGATGAAACCCATTAAGTAGTTCACTCTTCAACTATCTTTTTTGAATACTTGTGGAAAGCAATGCTTGTTTACAGAATGATTTTACCTTTTTACAACTTATATTTAAATAATAACTGCATTTCGTTCTCACCTTCCTCACTTATAAAGATTATTAAAACAATATCATTCAAGTTTTTCTTATAGAAAAAAAACTAGTAATAAATAAAATAAAAAAATTAAATTTGAAAACAATATTGTAAAGTTTATGTTTCTTTATTTTTTATTATTAAATTTTTATTTATTTAGTGATTATTATCACTACACATACATAGCGTATATAATTGCTATTAAAATCTTTTAATTTTCTGTAGTTTTCAATCTTGCACAGTGGCAATCTTTTTTCTTTTATTTAATCTATGTCATTATCATTATCTTCATTCTAAGTTATATCTCTGATTTGGAAAGTACACCATTTGGAATATAATTTCATTATCAATATTCAAAATGTAGCTAAGTGTAATTTTGACTAGTATTAGTTAATTCCTTTTTTCACCATTTTTTATAAAATTGAAGCTTTTTAACTCTTTGTGTACCAAATAAATTTCCTTGTTGCTTGTAGATAGTACTTCCATGCAGAAACCGAAAATATTGCCGAACCCGAAAATATGAAAGATGACGTCGGCTTGATAATCATTGTTAAAATATTTTTTAAAACTTGATTATTGAAGTCTGAATAAAACTTTTTAACCCTAGAAAATTTTGTTCTTCTATTAAGGATTCGTAAACTGATGTAGTGTCAATCATATTTAGCCTTTTTTAGAAAGAAAAAGAAAGTTCATTTGCTTTTTTTCCCCTATTTCTCTACTGCTTGCTCACTATCGAGAAATTTTTCTATCATTTTTAATTTTATAACGCATGCGCTATCAATAATAAAGAATTGCTTTTTTTTTTTAGTTAATATCCTTATACAGTCACCCCCATTTAATTGCATTACTGATAACTTTTAAAAGTGTAATTTATGAGTTCAATGAAGCAAAACCATTCATGTATATTCATATTATTAAATAATACAAGTCTTAAATTATTTTTCCACATTTAAATTGCTTAATTTAAAATTTAGGAAATTTTTTCGATGGTTATGAATGGAATAATAAATTGAGTGTAATTCCATTTACTTTATTCACAATTATAAATAAACTTATTCGTATTACAACAAAAGCTGCTTGCTAGCTATTTCTAAGAAAATAAAGCATAAAATAACTGTAGGGGTCGACAACGACCTACAAGGGGTTCATGTCAAGTGAAAATGGGGGTCAACGGTTGTGGATCTCAAATAGGCAGGTCGTGACTTTTATTTTGGCATTTCATGAATGGGATAAACAACATACACTGATGCTACCTACTATTTACTTTCATTACATTACCTTATAATATAAAGACATACAGGTATAGGACAAAATAATAGGAACACCTGTGAAAGAATGGAGTCGTTCTTGACTGTCCAATAAGCGGCGGGCACGTGTCGCAAGAATGTGCCACCTGGCGGTGATGAAAGACAAGGTATCTGTCCAGCATTTGGCAGTGTGAGATTTGCATGAGAAAAATCTGTTTCTAGCAAAACGAGATTATATCAGACCTCTCTGACCTTAAAAGAGGCACGATAATCGGACCTCACCTGGCTGGAGCGTCCGTGTCCAGAACAGCGAACCTTGTAGGTGTTTCAAGGACCACTGTATCAAGGACTCTGTCAGCATACACAAAGATGAGTAAGGTGTCTTTGGCGAGGCACAACAGTGGCAGGAAGTTGAAGTTGTAAGACCATGATAGACGGGTGTTGAAGAGTATAGTCGCTCGAAAACACAAGACTACACTGCCGGTGATAATATCCGAGATGAATACCTACCTTCAGAACCCTGTATCCATGAAAACTATTCAATGGGAGTTGCATGCTACTAACATTCATGGCAGAGTAGCTATTCCAAAACCGTTAGTTTCAGCGCGGAATGCTTTGAAGAGACTATAGTGGTGTCAAGACCACCTAAAATGGGCACAAATGCAATGGGAACAAGTCATTTGGTCTGATGAATCCTCTTTTACACTATTCCAGACCACCGGACGTGTTTTCGTGTGGCGAAAACCGGCAGAAGCATTTCATGTTGACTGCCTGGTTCCAACCGTGAAACATGGAGGTGGTTCTGTGATGGTGTGGGGCGCTATATCTGCCCGTGGATTGGGGCCTCTCGTTGTCTTGAGGGGGTGGTCAAAGGGGACCATTACCGAAGCATTCTTGCAGATCATCTTCATCCTATGCTTCATACTCTCTTTACGAGAGAACGTCCTGTGTTCCAAGATGACAACGTCCCTGCTCACACGTCTCACTGTGTTCAAACATGGTTAAATGAGCATAATGATGAAGTGGACCATCAAACGTGGAGTCCTCAGTCCCCTGATCTCAATATCACTGAGCCTTTGTGGGGTTTTTTGGAGAAAAAAGTCCGTGCTCGGTTTCCTCCTCCACGCACACTCTCTGAACTCAAGACAGCCCTGAAAGAGGAATGGCTGCAAATTCCAATAAACTTTGTTCAAGACCTTTATTTGTCAATCCCACGTCGAATGCAAGCTGTCATTCAGGCCAAAGGTGGCCCAACTACCTATTAATAAAATATTTTCATTTTTTCACAGGTGCTCCTATTATTTTGTCCTATACCTGTATATCTATCTACATTCTACATAATTTATAAAAGTAGCTATGAATTAAAATTTTTATTAAAATTGAAGTTATTAGGATTAATTTTTGATATATGAAAACTGAATTATTATAAACTAGCTATTGCCTGCAGCTCCGCCCTCGTACGTTTTTATTTTCTCTGCGTGTAAGGCTTTATTTTGTAACAAAAAAAAAAAACACAATTATTTTTCAGAGGTAAATTGTAGCCTAGCCTGTGTCAACTCTTTAGCTAGCTAGACCTCCTATTTTCTCTGCGCACAAGATCATGGTGATTTGTTGCTTAACTTTTACGTGAAAACGTAACAAACAGACCGATAATACACTACTACAGTTTTGTATACAAACTTATTTCCCCAATTATAATATTAGTAGCGGGGTACAGATTTTATAGTGCTCTATTTTATTCCACTTACAAATTAACTAAATTAGTAATTAAATTAGCTTGAATTTAATTAATAAATGTATAAAATTAAGTTTTTCACACTACACTTCACTACAGTTAGAAGTTTAAATCTTTTACAGTGAGTCACACTATACCAGCTGTCAAAAATACATTTGAAGTTGATGCTGATGAATTTACAAAAAATAAATATCAGGTAAGCGGGCCCAAAACCGAAAAACATGGCAAGGGATCCACGAGACAAAAAAAAAGTTCGGGAACAACTGGTGTAGAGCTAAGATTACTTAAGAAAATTCCTTATCCGTACTTTTGAGAAATTTTTAAAAAAGTAGAAATTATAGTGGTAATTAATTTGATGCAAAGTAACACGTTGAAGAAAATCTTTTGCAGATACTGCTGTTCATGAATTTCTAACAGCTTAATTTAAAATCCTTCAGTTCTAAAATCAATAAAATGATTTTATTAAACGGAAAAGATGTTACATTCACTGATTAGCTCAATATCAGGGGTCAGTCCAGACATTTTGTTGAAGATCCTGTTTTTTTAAAATTGTGAAAAAATTACTCGTAATTTGCGAATATAAAATAAGTGTAAGTCACATTCTTTCAAGCAGGGTCCTGTTTCGTGAATTTGTGCAAATAGGGTCCTGTTATCGAAAAAAACTATTTCAAGGAGTTTCAAATTGTAAATGGATACAAGATTATGCTAAACACTGTAAAATTAAAATTTCAAAAATAAACCGCCATTGCTGCTACTAAATTAGAGATATGCAACATACAAATATTGGGTATTTAGCCTACACTGCACAATGCAGAATATTCATTTCGCTGAATAATGGAAACAAAAATCACTCACATTTTTTATAATTTCAATTGACATGCAACACTGTTACTTTACTGTTAAATACTTTACTGTTTTTTTCTAAGTAAATGAAAATAAAATACAAACTTTAATTTTCTTGTACCTTTAGTGATGTTCCGCATCAAAAGTATGTTAAAAATACGAAAAATAACTTCTAACCAGTGAGGGAACAGGCATGTTCCTTTACTGAGCATGATTTCCCAGTGAATGAACATTATGTGTTAATATGTTGAAACTTTAATTTTCAATTCATGATTACAAAAAAAAGTTATTTTCCAAGTATTTATATGTTATAATTTCAAGAATAAGCTTGTTTTTAAATATTGGTATGGCTTATAAATTCATAAACAGCATTAAAAAATAACCAAAATTAAATGTTCCTTTACTGGGTGTTCCTTCACTGGTAAGAGCTGTTCCTTCACTTGATCTTCTTACTACTTGTTATTAATATGTTGAAACTTTAATTTTCAATTCATGATTACAAAAAAAAGTTATTTTCCAAGTATTTATATGTTATAATTTCAAGAATAAGCTTGTTTTTAAATATTGGTATGGCTTATAAATTCATAAACAGCATTAAAAAATAACCAAAATTAAATGTTCCTTTACTGGGTGTTCCTTCACTGGTAAGAGCTGTTCCTTCACTTGATCTTCTTACTACTTGTTATTTGAACCCCAAAAACTTTAAAACAATATTATGTAAGTTCTCTACAATTTTTTTACATAATTTACAATTAGTAGCAAATATGTTCTCACTGTCATTTAACTAAAATTACGAATTTTGAAATTAATATGATTTTTTAAAAGGCAAGCGAAGCTTAAGTGTTCCTTCACTGGTTAGTTTACCCTATTAACTTTTAATAATAATGAAAAAAAATTTCTTCCATTCTTCATTAAAGATCAACAAATAAAATTTAACTCTCTAAACAAACAAAGACTGTTACATTTTTTGCTTTTGCGATCAATTTTACACGGTGGTAGTTTATGTAACAAATATGTATCAAGTTTGATGAGCAGAATTGTTTTCAATTTTGTCAGCACTAACAAATTGCAGGACTATCAGATTTTCTATGGTTGAAACAAATGTGTTGTTGTTGTCAAATTCCTTTTAAAATTAATTCCTAAGTAAAAAAAGGAAACATTTTTTAAACCCCTCAAAACGCTGTTTGAATATATATAATTTTGTTAAATTATCCAATAAAAATAACTTTTTTAATTTTCTCTATTGATAAAAGATTTATACTCCTTATTAAATAAATACTAGATTGTTTGACCTGTTTTTTGGTCTCAGTCTCAGTAATAGTAAAAAACTGAGTAATACATATAAATTAACTTTGCGTAGCCTTTTTCTTTTATTATTGTCCCTGATATAAATTGATTATAATTAAATCAGAAATTTGAAACAAATACATAAGAATATACAATAGCATTTACAAAATTTCGTTTAAATAATTAGAAAAAAAATTTTGAAATTATTTTATCCTCTGATTTTTACCTAGTCTTGTTTTTATTTAGTTTGTTTGGAATACATTTTTATGTAAGCCATATTAGTTTATTAAATAATGAATAACTTCATAAGTACATGAGAAGACTTTGAAGTAGTTTCCTGTTAAATAATTTAAGTTACCAAAAATTAATGCTTAATTGTAATTTATTAAATTCCTTTACTATGACGCAATAAAAAAAGGATCATATTTAGTATTAAGAATTTTGCACGCATTATTAATATATCACTTGATAGTATTCGATAAAATTTAAATTGTCACAAAAAATAATCAGAGTTTAGCTGAGAAAAATTTTTTCAAAATATTATTATATGGTTTTATTAAAATTGAACTTAAACAGATATTTTATCTCATCCGTTTCTTTGTAGTTGGATGATTCTTCTTTTAGCAAAAATGTTTTTGAGTGTACAAGTTATTTTTTAAAAATTCAATAGCTGTCTTTCGTATTCTGTTCAAATTTTTCTTAAATTTTATTTCTTTGCGAATTTCAGATGCGATAATTCAAGGGAAATGCATAAAACATGACAAAAACAACAACAGAATAAGACTTTGCTTCAGCATTTTCTAGAATAATTTTGAATATTTGTGCGCAAATTTTTAGAATAACATGAAAAAAAAGAAAAAAAAAGAATGTAATTAGAAGAATGTTTGCGAAGAAAAACTTTAAAAATTTAAAATTTGCAAACTTTAATGACAAAATAGTAAAGTATTTCCTGGCAGTTAGAAAGAAATTAAATAAGTCAAAATCTAAACTAAGTTAAAATCTCTTCCTTCATAAATATATAAGTTCACAAAATAAAATTCATACTTAAGTTCGCAAAATAAAATTTATCTGATGAATATTTTCAAAATTCGAATTTACAGTACTTATAATAAAACAGCAGTACATTATTAATAGAGATATTTTAAAACTTATTAAAAATATGCGAGTATTTATAAGCAATTTTATATATTATATTTTATTTATTCCTATTTTTATTAATTCCAACCTAAACTTAAATTTTAACAAAATGGAAGTAAAATAATAACAAAAGCAGCAAAATGTTTAATTTATTATTAGCAAAAGAAAACATAAAATTAATAATTTTTCCCTTCAAAACAAACTTTTACTATCAGTGCAATTAAACTGCTAACATACTATGAACTCTTGAATAAACTCACAACTCTTCCACTATAGTGATTTATGATGACAGCTATAACCACCCCTCAATTAGTACCCAGTCGGCGGTCGTAGGGGAAGGGGAAAAAAATACCAGCCAAAAACGCGGGCCCACCGCGTTTTTGGCTGGTTAGCTGGTTACAAAGAGAGGCAACCCGAGTTATTTCGGGCGTAGTAATCATGCTTTGCGTGTAGTAATCATGCCCGAGTTATTTCGGGTCCGCCGCCAGGAGGGTTAATTTTTCAAAAATTGAAAAGAAACAAAAGTTAAAATGATAAATTAAAACAATGTTTCATGAACTAGAAAAAAGATTACATTATATACCACAATATATGAGGAAATAATCACCTAGGTCAGCAAGAAGTCACCACTTATTACACAAAAAACTGTACTGTTAAATGAGAAAAACTATGTTTCAAAAATAAGAACTACTCTTAAGAACAATGTGGCATAGATAAAAGACTAAATTATCAGATGCCCCTGCAAACATTTTGGTTGAATTGATCAAATATGTAAAAGTCGTACTCAGAGAGGAGAAAACTGGTACAACAGTTCTAAGAACACAGTTAAAACTATTTATGCAAATATGCAAAAAGGATAGTGTTTTTAGTTTCTTTAAAAGGAAAATACATAGAATTATTTTACACATGTGCAAAATAAATAATATTTATCTTAAGCTTTCAGCATATATAAGCATCAATAAAATTAGTGGAAGGTAATTTATAGAAATAAATATTCTGAAAGCCAAAGCGTTAAAAAAGAAGAAAAAACTTCTAAAACCACACAAACTATGAAAAAAAGACTGATTTTAAAACTAGTTAATATTAAATTACTTAGTTTCCTTACGAGAACACCTTTCTATCTTCTTCTACTTATCCTAAAATAATTACTTAAATTTTCTTTGAACACCCAGTATAACTAAGCTGTTCTTACCAGGTAGGTGAACACAACTTGACTTCGTACCAGTTGCTCCCGAAGAGCTCTAATTTCATTATTTATTTGAACTCTTACATCATTTGATTCCGGAGCCTATAACAAACACAAAAAGTTAAAATGACTATCAAAATAAACAGTTACAAAATATTAAAAAAAAGTTATAATTTACCACAGATGCCAATGTATTTTTACTCTCTTTATCTTCACTTGCTGAATCCTAGAAAAAAATTTATATTTACTGGAAAAAAAATTCTAATAAATTATTGAAACATTTCCAAAACAAAAAAACTATTTTTAATGTGTTATGTTCTTGATTGCATCTACTAGCTCTCAGCTGGAATAAAAAACCATGTTTAAAATAATCATGTTGTTTTTAGATTAACAGCTATTATAGCCATGCATTCTTAGGACCAGAGTTATATAAAACTTACAACACGACAACCTCACTATGTAGCATCACTGAGAAACAAAAATTTTAAAACAAAATAGCTATGGAGCACAATAACACCATATTACAATAAAACTATTCTAAAAATGAAATTAAAATTTATAAAAAAAATAAGAGAACGAAAAGCTACAAAACCTTAAAGTGTGATTTCTTGAAAGAGTGAAGAGTGATATCAGTTTGTCAACAGATTTTGAAAAAGCATTTAAAATTGTAACCTATTATGACAAAATGCTAGTCATTCTACTTGTAAATGAACTAGCAAAAAACTTAATTATTGCATCCAAAACAATGGTTAGAATTGGTTTCTTCAAAAAAGGACAGTTTTATTTAACACTGAAACTTGGGCCTTACTGCACAGACAAATATGTATGATTATACAAATCTGCTTAGGATGACATATATGTTTCACTAATATACTATGACAAAAAAGTGGTTTGTTAGAAATTCAGGTTTAGTAATAGTACTTTACAAAGAAATAAAAAAAACAATTAAAAATTTATTGCTTCTTGAGGCACCAATAAGCATAAATATCATTTAAACTATACATATGTTTTAAACTATTTATTATTGCTAAACTACTAAAGAAATAAACACAAGATCAGATAAAAGTTATAAATTTTATTTCATATTTAACTTTTGCTTTGTGTCAACAAACAAAACAAATTTACATTTTGTATCGTTTAAAAACAAAATAATAAATAAAAACAATATTTTGCTTTAATAATATTTGTTTGTTTAACTAGTTTTCAATCATTTCTCAGAATAACCTTAGTTTTATTTCCTTTTATGTAAAACACATTTATCCACCATCACCATGAAAAATTCATGGATTTTTCTTATACTTATTTTCTTCAACCCTCTAACACAGGTTGTGAATAATAAGGATTTTTATGGTTAAGTGTCTTGTCATAAATGAGTTTTTGCCACAGATATACTAAGTTCTAAGACTTTACCAGGTCTTGGTACCCTTTACATTGTGAAAATTTATTCTTTTACCTGGTAAGTTTTAGGTACTCAGCAAAAGTTTCTTTTATTATTTGGCCAATTCCGGGTACCCAGCCATGTATTAAAAAAAAAATTTCTGCAGCAAATATAAAAATCATATAATTTTTATCGAACACATATTTAATAAGATATAGTTAGAGGAAATTTACTATGCACTTATATAACTTACTTTATCTATCTGAAACATATGTTTTTATTTTTAGACTTTTTTAAAATAAATTTTAAAAAAAAGTTTCTGAAAAAAATTTGGATTGATTGGTGACTGTTCGGACATAGAATGATTAATGAAAAACTTTGCTATAAAGTGGAGACATCTGCTGACAGTTGATTTAATTACTAATTAAATTTTTAATTACATTTATTTATGTAACTTCTGTTAAATGTAGGAAATTTAAAAATACTTTCATAAAATGACTGTATATTGAATAAAATATGCTTTAACTATTAAAGTTAAATTTTTAGTCATCCCATAACTTAAAAAATAGTTTATGTGCAATGCGATCTACTTTAGAACAATCTCTTAAGCTTCTCAGTACTCAGTGAGAAATTTTATCTTATTACCAATTTGGAACAGAAGAATCATATTGCAGTTTTTCTGTCCTTAATGTTAGAATTTTATCTTAGGAACTTTGAGCCCTCAAAAGATAAAGTATTCACTATATCAAGCAACAATCAAGGACAGAATTTGCTTTTACGAAAAAGCGTATCTGTGATGCCAGAATTGGCAATTTTCCAACGGCTAAATGTTCTCCTGTGTCCGATCGGACAAAGGAGAAGCATGGGTAGGAGATCCAAAATTGGCGATTTATTAAAATATAGCATAGCCAAAACAAAGCCAATCAGCATATAAATATTGGGTTTAAAATAATACCTTGGCGATCACGAGTCGCCAACAAATTTATGAGAATTATTACAATCATGCAACTGAAACATTTAGCCGTTGGAAAATTAGAATAAAAAGTTATAAATAGATTTTTGTTTTCGATTAAAGGCGACAGTGAATATATAAGTCTGCATTAGTAATGAAATAAAAAAGTATCCGTTACATTGATCTGGAAGAGAAGAAATAAATATTTTATGTTTGTTTTAAAAAGATTAAGTTTGTGATTTATTTTAAATGTTATTCTATTAATAAAAAATCAGCTTAAGTAATGAAAGATATTTTAAAAGATAGAAAATAAATATGTGTATGCCAATTCTGGCATCACAGTATCTATGAAACTAACCTATATTTACGTAACACGGAGAGAAAAAACCTCTAATGGTTAAAAAGTCAATAAGAGAAATTTAACCAGATAAATTAGAAATTGAATTCAGTGAGCAAAACAGTAAGAAACAAGCTTTCCGCAAAAATTTAGTTGAAAGTTACCACTGGCTGATTTTATTTACAATGCTTTCTTAGAATATTAAATATAAATCAACTTATTAACAAAATGTTCCTGAATTTTCTTTTAAGTAGTTTAAAAATAAAAGTTTCTTTTGTTTTAAAATGAAAACTACCAGCAAAAAATTTATTTATCAATTTCTCGTTAAAACAATTATTTTGGTGTTAACATGCTTTTTTTTTTACTACGAAATTAATCATTAGCAATGTTTAAATTTATAATAGCATTAGAATAATTAATGTGTTGTTAATAAGAAAGTATTTATGCTCAGTTTTCAACAGCTGTATATTATACAAACCCGAATAATGAAAACATATTACAGAGCAATGTCCCATATCGGGACGTCCCTTTTCCGGAGGGGTCGATTTCCCGGACAAATTTTAACAATCAAAATAAACAAACATCTTTTCATCTTCCCCTCTCTTAAAAAAAAGAGGTCTTTTGACAAGTTTTTTCCTTTTCTGGCTTCTAGTGATTTATGCATTGAACCCATAAATCACCAGAAAAAGGAAAAGAAGATCAACCAAGACCATCGAGTGATCAATAATGATGCTCCTCCTCTGGAATGCAGGAAAGGAGGAAGATTTGTTTTTAAAAAAGCACAATTGGGTCCCCTCTCCCCCCCCTCTTCTTTCCTATGCAGCTGGCTAGTAAAAGAGGCATTTCCTGGAACCTTTTTATTAGTGTTAGGGAAAGAAGAAATACTGTGAAAAAGGGTAAACGCAGCAAACGTTAACGTGGAGGGGGAGTCACTTTCAGTCACATAAGAAAAATTAAGAGAACCCAATCCGCATGCAGCGCCTTTATGCTTGATTGTTAGTCAATGATCAGAGAGAAAGTAAGAATTTGTCACTTTCCCGCCCTCAACTTGAATGTCAAATAAGGAGGAATTTAATTTTTCTCCTTCACCTATCCACCTTAATAAATGACAGGAATTTCCCCTCCTTGCTTGAATTGTTCTAGTTCAAAATAGCAGAGAGAGCAATTAATATTTTCATAACTGTCAAATTTTTTTCGTTTTCTATATTTTAAGCAATAATTATTTTTTTCTAATATTTTGTTTTTGAGTTGATTAGATAAAATACTAATACTAAAAAATTATTGCCCGAAAAATAATATTTATTTATTTATTGCTTCTTAGATTCCGATCGTTTATTAGATCGTTTTAAGCTTTGTTTATCTTGGGAGTCTATTATGGGAAAAAATCTAATATCCGGACATCCGGAAGTCCCATCAATTCCGAATGCGCGACTTTCCACTGTATTGCCTTAACTTCTGAAAGAAAATTTAGATACATACATATTTAATTTTTCTACAGTTATCTTTGAATTTTATTCATTACAATTTGATTGACTTTAAAAAACAGTCAGTGTAACTCCCTATTTCTAACTTTATATTTATTTTTATTTAAATATTATATTAGTTTAATTAAAATAGTTTTCAACATTAGATTTTTGAATTTTCATGTTCTACTCCTAATAAAAATAACTTCTCTTAAGCGAGAATATTCTCTAGCCCAACCCATTTTACCAAGATTTTCTTGAACTAAAATTCCGCACAAAAGTTAAATATGATATTTTGATGATTTTATTTAACACAAGGAGGATTGCTAAGTGAGCCACAATTCAAAGAGAGAGGAAAATATGATGACTTAAATAATTTTCATGCTTTAAACATTTACAAAAATACCCAATATCACAATACCTAAGTCAATTAAAAAAAATGGATTTTTAATAAATATGCTTATCAATCAGTTTTTGTTTTCATCCTTATTAAACATGCAATCTTAAATTCCAAAACATTCCTCTGAGTAAAGATTTGAAATTACAATTATTTTGGTAATGCAAATAATAGAAAATTAATTTATTGAAGTACAGTAGAGAACCAATTATCCGGGATGCTCGGGACCATCGCTATCCCAGATATCTGAATTTCCCGGTTTTCTGGATCGACCAAAAAGTGTCGTTAATCGATGTNAATGGTTCTCTACTGTATATTAAGACTGCACAAACAAAATAATTTTTACAACAAGTTGTAAAAGATCTTTTTCAGCTCATAAATTAGTATAGTAAAATAAAAAGTTGTAAGAAAAAATTCAGAGACTTAACAGAGACTAAAAGCCAGGTCCAGGTACCCATTACTGTGTACTGGGAATTTATTAAAATTCGTTATTATTTTTCACACTTTTTTCTCCGCCAACACATTTAAATGCATAAAGATAAGAAAAAGAGTTTTAGCAATAAATTTAATCAATTAATGGCCAATACATGGATTCCTTAACCTTCCGGGGCAAAAACTATTTTAACGTATACACGACACTCACATTTTTAATTTTTTGGGGAATAAAGGTGTCCTGTGGTGCTTAGCCATACAGCCACACCCTCGGGGCCATTTTCTCTAGAGGGGAATGCTTAGCGGTGATTTTGCTGCAATTACTTTTTTGAGAAGGATGATCCTAGAATGGTGTGTGATGACTTACTTGGGTGTTCGACTTTTCTCCAACTTAAGTCCCGTTAAAAAAAATTCAGCACTTCAATTTCTTCTAAAACTTCCGCTGCTTATAAGTTATCATTAGAAGAAACTCATTTTCTTTCCTATTAACTCTTGTCTTTGCTTTACGAACTGTTTTTGTGGACTTTTTTTTAAACTTTCTTTAGTTACTTATCCTTTGTGGTATTTATTACAATTCTTTATACAGTTGAACCCCGCTATAGTGAACCTGGGATATAGTGAACACTCGGATGTAGTGAACTTTATTAGCGGTCCCGTCAGTGCCGTAACTTCACCTTTCGGGGCCCTGGGGCTCAAATTTTTGTCGGGGCCCTTTCTAAAACTTTGTGTACTCCATCTCTAATCGTCATTTTAGCTATTTATGTATCATGTTGATTAATATATTTATGAAAATAAGCCACTTGTTCACATAGAAATGGGATTACAAAATATTGTAAGTTGTAAATTTAACACTAGAATGTAAAATGTTATATTTAAAAAAATTAATTTTTAATTACAAAACACAAATAAGACATCTNATTCCTATAAAATGTGTCATATTACTCTCCTTTATGCTTATCACTTTTAACTATACTGTAATAAATGTCAAACAGATCATTTATCTTATACTCCTCCCTCCCTGCCAAGCCTCGCTTTATCTCTTTTCCCCAAGCTTGCTCTACAACTAGTTAACTTGGCCACCTGCTGAATTTTTGGAATTTTCTTATCTGTTCAAACCATATTCTTTACAAATCACCCCTTGACAATCAAGAAGGGGAACAATTTAACTCATTCTACAGCTGCTCTCTTCATATTCTTACATTATCTATTTTACACAAGATTTTTATTTCAAAAGCAGTGAAAATGGCAAATTCTCTTAAAGAGAAAAGCGTTTTCGATAGAGGACGCTATGTAAAGCGTATAAGTTAAAATTGTAAAGCGTATTGATGATGGAACCAATCAATCGACACTGTGTAAGGAATTTTCCTTGTCAAAATCTACAGTTTCAAACATTTGAAAAAAATCGAAGTGCAATTCTGGCGGCATACGACAAAAACATGGTTTCATCGAAAAAACTGCGTGGAGCTGCAAGAGAAAACGTAGAAGATGCTTTGTTAAGATGGTTCGAAATCTTGTTCAAAATGTACAAATCTTGCATTCTTTGCACATTGTAGATAAGAAAATTGATGAACTCAATTTAAAATCAAATTGTGTTCAATCAAAAATCACAAATTTTTTTCATAAAAAGTGAAAATAAAACTAACATTTAGTTTTACATTACATTACATTTTAATACATTAGTTAGAAACTAAACTAATGTTTAGTTTAGTTTCTAACTAATATTAATTCCATCAATTTTTGCTTTATTATCTGTTAATTAGTTAATAATTTTTTAAATAACTTATACAAAATTGCAAAGCCAATTTTCAATCATTCAACTGTCTAATGCAAAAAATATTCTTCAAAAAATTTGGATATAGTGAACCATCGGTTATAGTGGACACATTACTGAGTCCACAGACGGTTCACTATAGCGGGGTTCGACTGTATTTAACTTTTATAACATTCATTTCTTAATTTTTTATGATTGATTGAAAAAGCACTCCTATAAGTAAATTAACAACAGAATTTTTTAAGCAGCTAAAAATAAAATGATAGTAAATCTCCCATTTTATTTACAACTTTTAATATTGTACTTTAAAACTTATCCAATTTTTTTAGTTAAACAGCATATTTGATTTTATTATTTACCTTTTCAAGAATTTTGAGGATAATTAGAGCATTGAAGAATGTATTAAAATTTCTGGAAAGTACATGAATTTTATTACCTAAATTTATGTTTCTGTTCAGCGATAGAATTTTGAGTATTGTATTGTATTTGAGTGGTATATAATAAAGTTAAGATTTTCAGGTGCTTTTAACTCTTGAGTTGAAGTATTTGAACATCTGAACAGAATAATTAAAATATACTTTGGTTTTCTTCGAGAATGTTTTTGGTGAATGAGAAAGAATGTTTTTAGACATTCTTGTGTTTTGTTTTATGGATGCAATGGGAGTTTTGGAGTATGTTGCATCTGATTTGACCGATAAGCAAACATTGTTAATTTGAAAAATATCTTCAACTCATGTATTTTTATTACAATTAATTTCTTAAAAAAATACCATGAATTATGCATGATTTTTGATATAAAAATAACTATCTTTAAGAAAACTTAATGTAGTCAACTTCAATAAAATAGACAAATTTGATAAAATATAAACAAATTTATTTTAAGGTTTTGAACTATTCTGAAAAAAAAAAGTTTGTTCCATAAAAACCCAGCCTGTTTCAAAAACATCAGCTACTCCACTTTAATTTCTAAAAGTATTTCACTATTGAATAAAAAATATTATTAATTAAAAAATATATATTCACTTAAAAAGAAAATTTTCTTAACTTACCTTAACGTCTCGTAATTCAGCAAAAGTTTTCTGCAGTAAAGATGAACCTAAAATTAAGCAAAATTCATAAAAAATATACTGGTTGTAATAAAATGGAGAATGTCCAAAATTTGATTAAAATGCATATACAGTATAGCCTTGATTATCTGGAGCAATTAGGATAGAGGCCAATCCAGATAGCAAAAAATTCTGATAATTGATATACTTAAAAGAAAAGAAAAACAGGTACATTAAGTATATTTAAACTTAATGAATATTAAGGGAAGTTACTACAAGAGCTGTTAATTGTAGCATTGCATACTTAACTTTAGCTTAATACTATGCACAATTAGAAATTAATTATTTAACATTTTGTTTTACTTTTCAATGAAATAAATTATCACATATATATACACTGAACAGTACATACTTTTAAAAAAATCATTGTAATACAGTAAAAAAATTCTTGATAGCCTCATAAGTTTTATTAGAGGGCATATTTTTTTTTTAAGTAGGGGCAAATAAATTTACTGAAGTATATTAAAACTGCAATAACTAAACTACTTTTAACAAGTAGCTGTAAAAGATCTTTTTCAGCACATAAAATGTTGTAGTAAGAAAAAAAGTTTTAAGAAAAAGCCACATTTCTCAAATGGAATTAAAAATCAAAAAATAAATTTAAATTGTTTTTGTCACTTTTAAAACCAATAAAAATATGGAATGCATCACTTTCAAAGAATGTGGAAAATATTTTAGGTTTATTTTGTATCTAAGTTTACAAAGTGGTAGTAATTTTAATTGAGGATATATTCTGCATCTTTAATCAAAAACAGAGAAGCGAAGATATAGCAATCAGAAAACAATTTAAATATAGTCATCTGAATTGAAGCTCCAATGAAAATTGTAAAAATTCTGCAAATAAAAATTCAAGGAATCAAAATGTTGAGTTCAAATCTCGCCCGGCACTTTTCTTACACAAGCTCTTTTATATAATCTGTGTTGAATTATAAAAATGATTACAAGCACTAACATGTTTTGCTGTTGCTGATAAAATTAGCCAGCTTTGTAATTTAATTTGGATTATTTCAAACTTAAATCCTCCTATCAATGAAGAACTAGCAGAACAACAGTTCAATTAATACAATGTACATTCAGCTAATGAACTTATGTTTGATATTTTCAACTACAACTGATCTAAATTTTAGGGTCACTAAATCCATTTTTACTATTCTTATTGCATAAGCATAATTTTCCAATTAGCTTTATGAACTTGATAATGAATTTTTTTACTACATTATTACTTTTATTAATTATTAAGCTACTTTTAATTGCAACAACAAACTATTAAAAAATTAAAACCAGTAAGATCATTTTTAACAGTTTTGACCATTTTCCACCACTTTCAGATGGCTTAACCAATCTTATCTAACGTCCTAGTCAAAATCAGTCTTGACTAGATAAAATTACAACTTTGTTACAAACTTCTGCTGGAAATAACCAATGCAAAATTAATTACTTTTTTTTCCGTCCTAAAAATGAGAGCAAAAATTATACTCAATACCGTTGTTTCTCAACCGCTGGCTCACAATCTTACTACCACACACAAAGGGAGAACTTATTGAACCATTTTCAGATCTAGGATAAAAATCACAATTCAATTTAATGAACATCTATCAGTTCTGGATAAAAACTAGAAAAGAATATCTCCATCTTCATGAAAAAGCAATTAAGATTTTATTGCCCTTTTTAATAACTCATTTATGAGAAACTACATTTTTGTTGAGTGTTCTTAAAACAAAACATCGAAATCAACTTCGTCTTACATTTGCTTGATATGTAGTTGTATCTGATTTAATATTTAAAATGAACATGCTAGTCAGCAAGCAACAGCAATCTCATTAAATTCATTTATTTATTTTTGAATGTTAATTAGTATTTCCTGTTATTCATTTCATATTTACCTGTATTCTTTTGCTACCTACACATGGCGACATAATTTGATCAATACATTTTGTTATTTAAATTGTAAAATTAATATTCGTGCTAGAATTAATATGAATTTCATTTGTATTTTAATAGATTTATTCCTAAAATATTTTTCATTTTAGATAGTATGTAAATGATCAGAAACAAACCAGACATAAAATGTATATTAAAAGTATGTGAATAGTCCAAATTACTAACCTTACCAGTATGTGCTAAAATACTGAAATATTTTATCAGTCCTTCAAGTAAATCGGGTTGAGTAACACCGCTCTATATTATTTTTGGTTTTTTATCTACTTCCTAAGATAAAGATTCCATTGAAATTTTTAAAACAAAAATGAAGTTGTTGGTAAAAAAATTATTTTCTAATTGATGCATATAAATTCACACGAAAATTATAAAAAAAGATTTTACATAACTATTTTTCTTAACAGTAAACTAGAAAAAAAAAATCAGTACATTTAAGAATATTTAAACCAACTTACATACCTGGAGAAATTTCAATGGATTTCTGCACATCAGTGATAACTCTGAAATTGAAAAAAAAAACAGTTTTATCACAAAAATCTGAAATAAAACTGAAAGAATTAATAACAATTTTAAAAACTTCTGGTCTTAATTATACATTGGTACAGAAAATGCAATTTAAGAACTACTTTGTATAATCAATATTTTATAAAAATGAATTATAAATCACTAACACAAATTAAATTAAATTTAAGTATGACTTGTTATAAGCCATTAATTGCTCCTGAAAAAATATATATTGAAATACTTCATTTGAATATCAATTTATATCATTGACTATGTGCACTATTGATGAACAACGGGATTAAGGTAAGGATGGAGGGAACCAGAAAGTTAGTTGGAACATATGAGCCATTCAAAGTTACAAAAAAATTAAAATATGTATTACATAATAAGAATGTCAAATTGAATAATATTAAATGTAAAGAAAAATTATGGTCTAGATGTGTATAAGGATAAGGCTTTTAAAATTTTTAGGTAATGTTTGTAGGAAGAAACATTTTAAAAGTTATTATAAATTAGAAAGCAATAATAATAAAATAAAAAAATTAGTTTCGTATGGCTTTATAAAACTTCATATGGATTATTTAACTACATAACTAGATTTTTTTAAAAAAAAATTTTTACATTCAGAAAGACTAACAAAAAGCAAAATAAAATTTTATGTTAAGTGTTTAATGTTTGTAATTGATAAATATCAATAAAAATAGATTCCAACTTGTCTACATGTGCTTTTTTTAGGAGTGTTCAGCAAACAGGTACAATAATAGTTTACAATAGGAATGTGTCAAACAGGGCCCTTAAATGAAAATACTTTATATTTCTGAATGTGAATCCAAAAAAGTATAATTAAGTAATTATAAATTGATATAAGAACTTAAATTTATTTGTCCCCAAATTTTCATTTTTTTCTGTGACTCTATTCCAAAAAAAGATGTGCACCACTAACATAAAAAAAATCATAGAAGTCAGAAATTTCATAAATTAATTTAAAATTTTAAAACATAATATAGAAAAGTTGACTGTCTCAGTTAAATACAAAGGAAGTTAATATTCACTGCTGATCAAACTGAAAACAAATTACGAATAACTGCACTATTTATGAAGAAACAAAATACACAAAGTTATGAAAATTCTTTACAATCTAAACTAAGAGTCTGGTTGACAGGGAAAGTGTAAACAAGCAAAATTTATATTTTAATATAAATAGAAATTATTCAATCACATTCAATTTAAAAAACACTTAAGAACAGAGCTCGAAAAATTTCAATTTTTTTACATATCCTACTAGCATATGTTCTTTATAAAATAGTACATGCTTGAGGGAAACTTTTTACAAGCCAAAGCATCTTTTTCGAATGTATATTAATCAAAATTATACGTACCAATAGCAAAAGCTCAGCTTTCCAGAATTAGAGTAATCAGAAAGCTACAATAACTTAAATTTTTTGGTATTTTATAAAAAAATAATTCAGATCTTTTCTTTTATTAATGAGATAAATCGGTTTAAAGCTTTATTTTATAATTTAAGAATGTTGTTTTAGCTATTATTCTTTTTGTGAATTAATTTTTTATCAAAATTTTTACTATGCTGTATTTTTTTAAATCATTTCTGAAGCACTATTTTGGGGTAACTTTTTCAAAAACACAAAAATATAGAAAAATTAGATTTTTGTTATAATGCTTTATTTATTTATTTTTTATAAGAACTTAGAGTGATTTATTTATTAGTATCATTTTCTTTCCCTTTCCTATAGCTATTAGTAAGTCTTATTTATCTATCTTCATTAGTTTTCTATTAACAGTGATGCTGATATACTTTTTTCATTTATTATATAAATATATATTTAGATATATTGTTTTGTTTCAGTTGCGCAGCAATATAAAACACAGTATAATACAGCATTATAAAACACTGAGATTTAGTTTTTTCTCCATTTATCATTATATTTAATAAGCTTCCATTAAAATAATTTTTTGGTTTCATAATGTGCAGGATTTTTTTTCCTTTTTTAGAAAATAAGGCAACATTTAAAATAAATATTTTTGGCCCTGGAGTAACTGGAATTTCAGCATATTCAAATTTGCCATATCCTGTGCATTCTGGATAATTCAGGATTTACTATATTATTAATCTATCCAGAAAATGAAAAATGTCATATCCACACTTTCATTTTCAGTATTAAAGAAGCATGAAGTATTATTTAACAAAGAAGTTTTAAACACAAATAAGCTCTGCTAGAATTGCCTTGTATTGCTCATTGGTTACTTTGCATGAATAAGCTTGAATGAAGTAAATGAAAAACATAATTATTAACAAAGAAGTATTAAATATTATTGGAAAATGCACCTTCTAACAACATTCTTTTCACGAAAAGGCAAATATTCCAACAGAAAGTTTAATGCATTTTAAATTAATATTTAAATGTATAACTGAGTATGTAAGAGTAGGAAATGCATTCCTGGTCAAAATTTTCACATGAGAGGGGAAAGAGAGAGAATAATGTTCGAGCTCTGCTAGAAGAAAAAGATTTCGGAAATGAAAAATGCCTAACCTGCCAGTTTGTTGATGGACAACATCTTGGCGGGAACAATGAGAAACACAGCTTCCCATTCTACCAGACTTGCACTTTCTCTTGTTTAAGTGCAGTTTTTGAACAAATTTTCTCAAAAATTTGAGAAATTTTATTTTTAAAGAGGCACAGTTTTGTTAGATTTTTTAAGCATTGAACTGATAAAATTTTATTGTTCCATCAATTCTTAGTAAATTTATACAAATAAATAATTAAAATTTTAGAAAATTTACAAAAGACAGCACCATTTACATGATTGGTGCTATCCTAGAATTTTATATCACATACTTTTATGTGAATTAAATTGAAATTCTTTAACTTGAAAAACAGCAATGTAACAGAATTTCCACTCAAACACTGGCTGAGTACCAATATCATTTAAAATAAGTATAGCTCTTCTTTTATTTTGCATATCTAAAATTTAAATTGATACGGACAGAATTAAAATTTTCGAAAACTAATAACATGAATTTAAATTATATCAAAAACATAAGTAAAAGATTAAATTATTATGACAAATATTTAAATTGTATTGGCAGCAAAAATATATATATTTCAAATACTATAATCAAACATTTAAATTGTATTGACAACAAAAATAAATGATTCAAATATTATAACAGAAATTTAAATTGCATTGTCACCAAAATCTAACTATTTCAAAAATAATAAACTTAGATTTAAATTATAAGTTCACATCCTAACCAAACTTTTAAATAATATATACACAAATTTAACTTTAAAATTTAAATTTTTCTTTTCACCCTATAATTTACAATGATAAAAAAACAGATATTTTGAAACATTAACTCATTACTACTTTCCACTTAATGTATAATATTTCTATAGCTAATATTTAATAACTTTAAAGCCAGTAACAATGTGAATTCAGTTACACAGCAAACCCAATGACTAGTACCTTAATATCTAAACAAAAATAAAAGACAACAGACTTGTCAGTCAACAAATTCTTATAACATTATGGCAAAGAAGTAAATCTTAATAAATAGACATGTAATCCATTAAATTACGGTAAGTAAATCATTAAATGTAGAGCAATTTGAAGATGAAATAAATATTTGTTTTCATCAAAATAGTTTGCAAATTTCACGGAGTTTCAGGATCAAAACACCCGAAGGACTAGACATTCACATCCGCATCTTGAAAAATCAATATAAACCGATCCCAGAGAGATACGGAGGAAAGGATGGGGATCATATAGGGGATGTGTACATATTTGATTCTGTTCCAGCATAATTAAAGTTTTCAGAACCACTAAATTTATATTTTGTTTCAACTAGTGAATTAGTGAGCAAAAGAACAGAATAAATTTATAATTATATTAATTAATATTACTAAAATAGAATAAATCAAAAGAAATAAATGGAAAAAAATAAATAAAACAAGAAGTGAAACTTTACCCTAAAGAAATTTCACAATATATCTTAAAAAATAAAAACTTAAATTTAAAAAAAAATCTACTAACAACGTGCTTTACTCCAACGTAAACATAAAACACCTGTTGCAGAGATGAGTGACGGAACGTAAACAATATCAAACTTCCTAACACCGAAAGAAATATAAATAACTACCGGTGTATTAAAAAATAACTACCGGTGTATGTCTCCGCTAATGGTATACTTCCATATCGTGATACAAGGAAATGTATTAAAAAAATTAATTTAAAAAAAGTCTGTGTTTATGAATGGTTGACTGAATGTAAATAATAACAAATTTCCTAAAACCCGATAAATTTAGAAAACTTCCGGTGTATCCCTCCGCCTATGTTATGCTTGCGAGGCGAACATACTTAATATTCTAGGGAGTTTTATTATTGTAATTTGCGATTAAATTTGTGCGTAATTTTACGATTCATAAGAGTTTCTTATAATTTACAAATTCTAACTGGTTGTGAGCCTAAAAAATTTTAAGAAAATTAATATCAAAGCATAAATAATTTGAAAGGTTCGCCATGTTTTGAGTGTTATCCCTTACTTGGCTATATTTGTGTAAAATATAACCGTTTGATATTTTTTGGGTTGCATCATAGCATGCTTGCGAATTCTACCAAATTCACTTGTCATTTGTTTCGTTGAAATTTAAATAGAAACAATGCGTTATATTGTAAGCACTATTAGTATAATAATATTAAATGACGTGCTTTTTTCAATTTTGGGCGTAAAAATTAACCTAAAATAATAGCCCGGAATATTTACAACGAATTTTAACCTCTAGCACCATCTGTGCCTAGCTTTACACGATCAACCATCTATAAATTAACGGGTAATTTTATCATTCATAAGAGTTTTATGAAATTTATAAATTCCAACTGGTTGTGAGCCTAAAACAAATTGAAGTAAATTAATATCACAACAAAAATAAAGTGAAAGTAAAGTGGTAAAGCATGATTTGCCATATTTTGAGTGTGACTCCTCATTTGGCTATACTAGTGTAAAATATTACCGTTTGTTATTTATTTGGATTGCATCTTGCAGGGCATAGTCTGCTTGTGGAGTTTTCCACATTCATATGTTGTTTGTTCCATTGAAATTCAAATTGAAAGAAAGCTTTATATTGTAAACACTACAAGTATAATAAATATTTGACGGCTCCCTTTTTCAAATTTCGACGTAAAAATCAATCGAAAGTAGTAACCTGGAAGTCTTACGACAAATTTTAACTCTACCGCCATCTGTGCTTAGCTTTACCCGGTCAACCATCCTATGGATGGTTTACGCATAATTTTATCATTCATCAATCCCGCAGTGGACTGATCGTTAAGACACGGTTCCCAGCAGATCACCGAAGTCAAGCATCACTGGCTGCGGTCAGTGTGCGGGTGGGTGACCACTTGGATCAGTCTGCGTAGGGACCGAGGGTGTGCAGTATTGGAACTCGTTAAACTGTTTTACCGTAAAGTGCTCGACTTCACATGCAGGTCGTCGGGCTACCGAAGCGGGGGTGCCATCCCCTCTGCAGAGGATCAAAATTGTGATGGCATGTCTTCGGATCATCCTCAGGGATGTTTCCCAGACCGTCGCCAATAGCCCATTGTGCAGCTCTAGTGCGACGTAAATGAACGACAACATCGGTGATGAGATTCAAACAGATTTCAAAGTTATCTAAGCTTCGTCCATTTCAGGATTTTGTCCCAGACCCAACTCCTCAAATCTTGCTGTGAAATGTGTTTTCAAATTTAGTTTTTTTTTTTCTTCCTCTTCCAAGAGTAACCATTTATGATAATTCGAAGCAATTTGACTGATAATACTAGCCAAAATCCGATTTTGCCGAAATTCTTTCATTGTCGGATATTTCATCGGTGATGAGATTTAAACGGATTTCAATGTTATCGAGTTTCGTCCATTTCGGGATTTTGTCTCAGACCCGACACGGCAAATCTTGCTGTGAAATGTGAGTTTTCCAATTCAGTTTTTTTTCTCTCCTCCAATAGTAACCATTTATGTTAATTCGGGGCAAGATGACCGATATTACAAGCCAAAATCTCGAAAACCATTTCTCTCGTATTATTATTTCCACGACACATTCTTAAATTTAAAAAAAATTTAGTGACCTTAATTTTCAGTTAGTTAATAATGTATCATAAAATTCAGATATTAATTCTCTGAATTATATTAACTCTTAATTGGAGGTTTAAGTATTTTTTAAGGGAAGTGTAATGAACTTATATGCGTCTTTTTTAAAGAATTAATAAATTTTAAATGAAATAATCATGCTGGTGATGCAATCTTTTTTTTCTTTTACTTTCAAAATATTGGGAAAAATTACAAAAAAGAGTACCTATTGAAAAAGGATTCTTTATTATTCAAAATACAGTGGTACCTCGAGATACGAGTGCCCTAACATACGAGTTATTTGAGATACGAGCTGTTGAGCGAGCGAAGTTTTGTTTTGAGATACGAGTGACATTTGAGATACGAGGAACGGCCAGGCAAGTCCTTCTCATCCTCGACAATGCTCCTGCTCACCCACCGAACCTCGAACATGACATCCTCGAAGAGTTCAAGTTTATAAAGGTTCTCTATCTACCACCACTCCTATCCTGCAGCCCATGGATCAGCAGGTGATTTCTAATTTTAAAAAGCTGTACACTAAGCACCTGTTCCGGCGCTGTTTTGAGGTGACAGAAAACAGAAACCTCACCCTTCGAGAGTACTGGGAGGACAACTTTAACATCGTGATATGCCTCAGAATTATTGATCAGGCCTGGCTGAGCGTTGCAACGAGGACCTTGACCTCTGCATGGAAGAAGCTGTGGCCAGCGTGAGTCTGTAGCCGAAAATTGTGCTGTGACCTGAGTCTATAGCTTCGAAGGATTCGAACCCAAAGTGCCAGTGGAGGAGGATATTGGGTCTCTGGGAAAATCCATGGACCTGGTGATGGGTGAGAGAGACGTGAACGAGCTCATCGAGGAGTACTCTCAGGAACTGACGACAGAGGAATTACAAGAGTTACCGTCGCAGCAGCATTCGGGGGTTCTGCAAGAAATTGGTTTCGAGGAAGAGCCAGAGGTGGAGGAGGTTATCTCTACAAGTGAGATAAAAGTGTTCTTGGGAATGTGGGCAAGAATTTCACAGTTCGTGCAAGGAAACATCCCGAAAAAGTTGCATCTGGTCGTGCATCGGAACTATTTCATGACACTCGCCTAACTCATTTCTGCAGCATTCTGAGAAGGAGGAAGAAACAAACCTCCTTGGACAGTTTTTTTTTAATCCAGCTAAAAAAGCAAAGACCGGTGAAGAGAAAAGCAGTGACTAAAATTAAGCATACAGTAGCATTTAAGATGTGTGCAACTTGCATTTAAGTGATCAAAATACAAATATGTATGCACACTTTATAAAACCAGTTTTTTTTTTTTTTTTTTTTTTACTTTACATTTTCTTTTATTATGTTTTTATACAATATTTGTCATTTATAAATACATTTTTCTTATTCAAAAACACGTAACAAAAACAATTGGGGGTAGCATTTTTGGGGCTGGAACGGATTAATGGCATTTCAATTAATTTCAATGGGGAAAATTGCTTTGAGATACGAGCAAATTGACATACGAGCAAGGTTACGGAACGAATTAAACTCGTATCTCGAGGTATCACTGTATCTTATTTAAATTGTTAAATTCTGTTTAAATAGCACAAATTATTAAATAATTTATATTTTCAATTGGTATATATAAAAGCTATTTTTCTACTATGAATTTTTTTACTAACTCCGAATGACTTTAACATTTTTTTAAAAAAACATTTAATTTTTTAACTACCCTTCAGTTCATAATTTTTAAAATTCTACGATGATTGAATTATTATTTGAGTTAAAATGTTTTTAACCTGAAATAAATTGTTCAGGGATCAATTCATATCTTTAGAACAATTAATCATCACAACA